TGGGGAATTCTGGGAGTTGAAGTCCACCCATCTGAAAGCTGCCAAGGTTGAGAAACACCGGCTTAGGTGGCAGTTTTATCTGGAAACAAAGTAAAATAACAAAACAAAATTCGTCCTCATTTATTAGTGAGTGCATTACGGAGGGCTCTCCATAAGTTGCTCGAATTTCTTTCCCATAGATTCCTTCCATAGAGGCCTCACTTAAGAGATAAGGCTGAAATGTCATCGGTTCTTCATTGGCCATGTTTTGAAAAACTCCCCTTTTTCCTCCAGATTACAAGTACAGATAGTCCTTGGTTAACAGCCACTCATTCAGTGACCGTTCAAAGTTGCAATGGCGCTGAACAAGTGGTACTTATGACTGGTCCTTGAAGTTCTGACTGTCACAGCGCCCCTGTGGTCATGTGATCGTGATTCGGGCGCTTGGCAACCGGTTTGCACTATGAGAGTTGCAGCGTCCCACAGCCATGTGATCCCATTTGCTACCTTCCCTGCTGGCTTCCCACAAGCAAAGTCAATGGGAAGATCGCAAGTTGCATTGTTAAGTCTCCCCTCGTAATCCATCTCCTGGCCTTCCTGCACTCACGTGCAGCCCGCGTTGAGCCTCCCCCAGTCTCCTCCAACTCATGCATAGCCTGCGCCAAATCTCCCAGGGCCTCCCCAGCTTCCCACACACCCCTGCGGCACTCCTGTGCTCCTTACCTGGGACTCCCACCACTTCCCGCTTAATGACCGGCGTGTCTTGGGGTTATGATGCAACCGGAACTTCTGGGATTGTCGTCACTAAGCAATGTGTCATGTGACATTGCGCTTTACGACCACATTGCTTAGTGACGGCAATCCCAGTCCCCCCTCATAACATGAGGTCTACCTGTATACCCTTATAAAGAGACAGAATATTATATATCTTTATCCCCAAGTCAACTTAGATGAAATTATGCTACTTCTGACCAAACAATCCCTGTGTTGCTTACATTCACTTTCAAGCATACAACTCAACTCATTTGACCTCCTCTGCAGAATAAATGCTAACCCTCTTCCTTCCAATGCAGGTTTGGTGTTCTGTGCGGACCCCAGAGAGCTCACATGAGGGCCTGATGACGGACCCCCACAGCCCTGACAAGTTCCGAGTCATCGGCACTCTCAGCAACTCCCGGGACTTTTTAGAGCACTTTGAATGTCCAATAGGCTCCTTCATGAATCCTGGGAAACACTGTGAGGTATGGTAGGGAAGGAAGGAAGGAAGGAAGGAAGGAAGGAAGGAAGGAAGGAAGGAAGGAAGGAAGGAAATAAGTTGCATCTCTGGCAGGTCCTGTACATACATCTGTCCAACTGTCCCATGCACAGTCCTGCTCACTTGGAAGCAGTTGGCAACCCTGCCTTGGTATCTTCAGTTGGTACGAGTTCTTCTCCTTTAGCACCAGGAGAAGGAGAAGCAGAACCTCTGCATCCCTGTCAAGGCTACGTTTCTTAGGTCAGGAAGGAACAAATGCACAGCTTCCCTTCTCTTAACTAAGCCCCTCACTTGCTTCTTCTGTGGGCTCTGCAGAGAATCTCCAACTCAGCTTCTTTGGCTTTTCTCCCATCTCCAGTGTACCCAGGGACCCTCCCCAATCCTTTGCAGTGCCCTGGTACCATCTTCCTTCTGCTTCTCTAGATCAGCTTTGCAGCTTGCTGTTTTGGGGATGGGTCTAGGAACCACACCAAGGAGTATGCCTTCATTCGTTGAATCACCAAGTTGGAAGGTGACCATCCTGATTCAGTTGGGAAATTTGAGCTACAGCTTCCTGGGTTTATGGAAACTACAGATACAGCAGGGAACCCTCCCCCTTGAAACATGACCCTCTAGCATGAATCTCAGAGAACCCTACTGGATCAGAGCAGAGCCCACCCAGTTGAATAGATTTGTTCCCAATACACCAGAAAGATACTTCTGAGAAGCCTACAAAGAGAACAGAGAGTGTAACCCACTCCTTAGTTGCTTGCAACATTTGGGGTAATCAGAGGTACCTTGCCTCTGAACCTGAAGGCATCATTTAGCTAATTGCCAGGGTTCAAATTTGTCCTTCATGCATTTGTCTTGTCTGTTTTATAAGCCATTTCAATTCATTGCTGTAAAATCTCCTGCATGGCTTATGGTTAGAGCAGGGTTTTTCAAATTGGGTTCTGCAAAAAATTGAAAGGGTATCTCAGGACTAAGGGAGAAAAAAAAAATCTGTCCAGAAAAGACTGAGAGGAAAAAAAAGTCCCTGGAAGGGACTAAGCCTCTTTTGGCGGAGAGGTTCTTTTTCCCATAGTCACTAAAGTAAAGTGCAGCATTTCTCAGTCTCAGCAACTTTGAAATGTGTGGACTTCAACTCCCAGAATTCCCCTGGCCAAGGGAATTCTGGGAGTTGAAGTACCAATAGAAGAGAATATGTGTAGCTCAGGGTTGACCTGTGGAGTCTTTGGGGTTCTCTGAGCTTGGTTGTTTTCTTGCAAACGTTTGCTGAGATTGAGAAACACTGGTAGAGAAGGAAGAATGGGGCTAGCCAGCTAACATGGGGGTTGCAGGATTTTTTTTTTTTTTTAACTGAACAGATTCTGTGGCTTGAAAAAGTTTGAAAACTCCTGGGTCAAAGTATAGCTAAGATTTGGATCGTTCCGCAAGAGTATTTATCCCTGGTGCCAGGGTGTAATAGAGTAAGGGGACGTGGCCTATATTTTTCCTACCAGCCAAGCATCCAAAGAAGAAACAAAGCTTTGGCACAGACTATTCTCAGGCCTGCTTGTTTCGGATCGGGGGCAAAGTCATTCACGTTGCATAGCAAAGGGAGAGACCGTACACCTCCCGAAGCACAATCCCATCCAATCACTGTGGAAAGACAAGCTGCCTTTTACTGTTAGCATCACACCTCCCCAAGCGTCCTACCCCTTTTCCCTTCTCACGAAAAGGAGCTGGCCCCCTCTGCTGTTGGGCGTCCTGTGCAGACGCAGGTCACCCTGGTCCAAGCACACAGAACACCCCGCAAGGTGGTCTTTGGAGTCTGGCAGGAGAGGTGGAGTGAGAAATGAACTCGCTTCCGAAATGGTTTCATTTAACCCTTTTCCAAGCTCGTGATGAATTCCAAATTAGCTTGGCTGAGAAATTCCAAACTTGCTCCCATCTATTGAGCTTGGTGGAGATTAGTGCCTTGGGTTAGTGTGTATGTGTGTGTGTGTAATTGGGGGTGGGGGGGAAGGGACGCTGTTGGTGTATTTACTATTAAAAGCACTTTCCGCTTGACTATTTCAAAGTGGACTTCAAATCTGTGTGATGAAATAAAAAAGTGGAAAAATTGACTTGAGAGTGCAACCGCTGTTTCCTGCTTTCAGCCAACTAGGCAACAAATCAGGAGTGACTCTGGATTGGCAGTGTGGTAACAGGAGATCCAATTGTACATTTGTTCCTGGGAGATTTGTGGCAAATTGTCATTCAGACCTGCTGACATTCCTCTACCGGATCTGAGCAGTATCATTTTCGACTGCAAACACAGGCTCATATTACAGGATTCTTTCCATGAAAAAAAATGTTGGAAGGAAATCTTACCAAGTTTGTTTCTGAGACAGGAATAAAATGCACGGGTGGTTGCTTAAAACAGAGGTAAAAGTTTATTTCCAAGAGCACAGCACACAGAATTGGATCTCGGAGGTGGCCACGAGTAAGAATTCCCAAAGAGCCCTTTAATATAGAGAAGATTGTGAAAGAACACCAGCCCTCTAGGACAGTGTTTCTCAACCTTGGCACCTTTAAGATGTGTGGACTTCAACTCCCAGAATCCCCCCACTGCTCTAGGAACTCTAAGTTCTTAGCCAGAGTTCCAAGAGGGGGCGCTCTGAGGCCAGGCACCCCACTGAGCTGTGGTTTCCCTCTAATCAGGCACCCTGTGTTTGCCTATCTAGCACTGCCTGACTGGTGTCGAACTGAGGTATTTGCCTGTCTAAACGCTGCTTGATTGAGATGCAGATCTCTCTGGGGAAGAGATTTTTTGCCGTTGGATTAAGGAGATCTTTTCGGCTAGGTTCCAGGCACTTTGACTCTTCCTGCTACGTTTTAATCTTTTGGGTGAACCCCTTCTAATGGTAAATTTTAACCGCTTACCTGGATTGAAGATTGAATGGCAAGGTGAGACAAGCAGGATGGTTTGATTTCCTGCTTGCACGGGGGAATTCTTCTCGCAAAAAGAAGAGAACAAAACTTGAGATGTAAGAAGTAAAGTGTCAAGGGAAACAGTTCTCCTTTCGGATTCTTCTGATACCTAAGTGTTCTGTGAGCAGAGATCCCCCCCCCACCGCTCCACTGCAGCTCAGTCCAGAAATTGAGTGAATCATCGCAATAATGAAAAGCAGATATTTCCTTAAGCGGCCCCGTGGAAATCATTATCTCTCTTTACAAAGTGACCCATTGGTTATGTGGAAGGACAGACTATCTGCTCTCAGAGTAAGGTAGATAATAGTGATAAAGGCCATGCTTGGTGTGCAAAAAGTTTAAATTCTGGCCATTCCAGTTATGAACCTTTGAATGAGACAACCTCATTTCAGTCCTGTGCTTTCATAAATGCGACCACACCATCCCGTTCCTTTCAAAGCTTATTCCAGTTCAAACTCTACAAATATAGCTTCGGCTAAGATTTGATGGATTACAAAATACAGTGAACAGGTTATGGAGAAGATCTTTGTTCTCTCCTCAATTGCAAACAATGACATGGCTCAGCAAGCTATTGGACTCTGACCCCTTACTAGTCTCTTGAGAGAAACACCTCGAAGTGGAATGAACAAGTGCCTTTAGCAAGGTTGCAGCACAGTTCTTTAATAGGATCTTGGCAGTAGCATCAGGGCCCAAACTGCACTGCAGAGTCCCCAGACCTCTAGCATGGAGCTATTATTTCCCTGAGGATCTTTGTGACGGGGGATTCCAAAGAACCAAGCTGGTTTCATATTGTAATTTACATTTTCATCCTAGAAGCCTCCAAATCTTCAAGATGATACAACTCATGAATTTGTGTAAATACTCCTTAAAATCAGGAGAAGATAATCCTGGTATTTTTCAAGGAGCAGTTCAGTAGTCATTTGCTATTTACTTTTCCTCTGGTGGTGGTGGTGTTTTACATCCTAGTCTAGCTGACGGCCCTAGAATTTTCTGGTGATCTCTTACCCAAGTGCTAATCAACTCTGTCCAGTCCTGTTTAGCTTTTTTCAAGACCATCCAAGGCCAGTTAAGTGCTGCCACTGAGTTGGGCTGCAAGTGCTATAAGCTCCAGTCAACACAGCCAAGAATCGGCGATTACAGGAGTTACAAACTGATCTAAATACGTTGTGCAAACAATCAATATGAGGTTAACATGTAAATTCTAACCTGGCGTTGCTTTCAGCAGAAGAATTTATCTTCTTTGCTGACTTGATTATCAGCATCCCAAGCCTTTTAGAAAATAAAATATTCAAGTCATGTCATATTACTTATTGGCTGCATTTGCACGACGTGTTCAAAAGGGTTACTGAATTAACCTATTTTCTGGGCTCACCTAATATTCTAAATCAAACCAATCAGACGGAATGAGTTCACACAACACACCAACCCCCCCAAATAAAACAAGGGTAATGCCAACCAAACCCAGTCTATTTCTACCAGGAGCATCCAATTGCTAGGCCTCTTTAATTTATCTGGTTAAGAATGTCGTGAGAACGCTGCTACCCCTTTGCTTACACAATTTACTAGCTGTCTTTCCACTAGAGATAGTATAATAAAAAGCAGGGTCTGTTTGTATCAGCAGTCACTGATATAAAAAACACACAAGCACAAGCTGGTTAGATCGGTGGCACATGTTCAACATGGCGAGCTTGGTGAGTTTAGCTGTATGTGGTTGTGTACATGCTTAGCATGTTGTGTGAACTCAGTCTATTAGGTTTCTCTACTGTTCAGTGTATTGTGCATTCGGTGTATTGTGCAAACTCAGAAAATAGGTTAATTCAGGAACCACGTGGGGTAAACACAGTACAGCTCTATTTATTCGCTGGACTGTTTTTCTGCCTTTCATTCAAGAGCCCAAGATAACTGCGGCGGTAGCTCTAAAACAAAAGGAGCTTTAAAAAAAAACCCACAGAACACAACAGCCCATTCACCAAACATTCAACGCACTTCCGAGCTGAGCAACAGCCCACGTGACTCCTTCAACAGCCGGATATTGAGAGCCCGCCCATAGGCCCGATGGGATTCGTAGTTTTTAAGTCGGGTAAGTGTTCCTGGCCGCAGCCATGCATCACGAGATTGAGAGTACATTCTCGCGAGAACCGGAGAGTGTTTCCGTCGCACTCGCCTCTTGGGAAGAAGGCATGCCGGGAGTTGTGGTTTTAAAAACAAGAAGACGTGGAGAAGCCCAGCTGGCTTAACGGGTTTGGGAACTTCGTTTCCTATAAGCCCTTGCGGTGATCGTGGTCGGCCGGCAAGGCTCCGGTAGCTGCTGTTACGTTCGAGAGGGAAGGAGGAATCAGGTCCGGATCGGGAGGAGCTTTGCTTTGGGAAATGAATGCCCGTTAGTACCCCTTCTCCAGGTAAACTTGAGCCTTGTAGCAGCCTAGTTCGTGGGCTTCCCGCCTCTGAAAGGCTTTAAAACAAAGGTGCTTCTGAGTACATGCAAAGTGTGCTGAGGGACTGGAGGCTTCAGGGAGACGCAGGGATCTTTCCCCAAGCTTTTAATTGCTCGTTGATTTTAAATACACTGATTTCACTGGCGTTATTGTATTTATTTTTTTTCCTTATCGCTTTGTTGTTCTGACCTGCCTTGTGTGATTCTGTCAGCAGGAGGGGGGGGGGGTTAATAATTTAATAGTAAATGCATATTGCAGGAAATATTTTTAGAAAAACGCCTTAAATTGTGCCCCAGCTGTGATCTTTGGCCAGAGACCCAAATTTCAGAATAGAGGGGGAGCTTCAGGATACACATTTGCTGTTTGTCAGACCCAGTAAAATACCCACATGCAAAGAAGCCAGTCAGGTCGCTTTTATTAAGGCTATTGTTACACACGCTGCTCCCAGGTCCCGCTTCTGGTCACTCACTCACACACTCACAGCCTGTTGAGGCACGTGGATCTTGTCAGCCCCCCTTGCTTTCTACCTGGGTTCTCCAGAGAGGTGCTGACAGACACACAGCCCTGGTCAACAGCCGGGAAATAATGAGGGACACACG